AAAGGTGGAAAACACGTTATCACATACTAAAGCATGACACTTATGAGATTTTAAGAGTATGTATGACAAATAGGAAGTGGTTCAGTCAAAATGATCAGTTAAACCAGATCATTCCACAAGAAACCAATGACTATTGACTAGTACTAGGAGATAAAAACGTTTGTTCTTTATAATTACAAGAAGCTCTGAATTATTAAGTATTTGATTCGATCATACATTTTAAACAATCAAACGAGAATTCTAGTAAACATGAAAAAATCAAATCTATTAATCAAACAAATGAATAAGATAATTAAGTTTTGACATATATCACTCCAAACAAGTCTCTATAGATTCAGAGAGATACTTGTTCGATCGAAGAAGAATCCTCCTTTCCAGCAAGACCGCAGTGAAAAGTTTGATTACATTTTCCAAATCCAAGCACTGCATAAGTGGCTGAAATGAAATCTGCACTCCTTGTAAAGAGGATGATCATTAGATGAGAAGACAAATCAACATTTCATTACACTGTCTGTGAAGCACAACAGCATTCAGCCAACTTTAAAAAAAAAAAGAAATATATATATATATATTGAAAAAGTCGGCTTACATCAGCGTGGGGAAGCCCATCCTTTGGTGGAGCCTGAACAGAAAGAAGACAATTCTCAATACCAAACAAAATCCGTTCCTTCCCAGGAGTAGGCAGAGGTACATTGGAGACCATGTATGCTATGACATCCCACAGCGGCTTGCTGAAATGTTGACGTTCAAATTCTTAGAACAAATTGATTTTTTGTAATGATGACTCTTTTTTGGCTAATGCCAGTTGAATAAATTTTTTATGATCCCCTTGGCTGCTGGGTTGATTTCTCATCACCCTTTGTGTACTTTTCTCTTCCTTCTGGCTTCAAGAATCGTTAAATGAATCCACTCGTGTCTATAAAATTAGCTTTCTAATTCACACTGTGGCACCAGAACCTAGTGCCGTAAAAATAAGATGAAACGGAGATAGTATCCAATTATGTACTGACCTACTTCCACTGCTGGAGAAGCACAAAGCAAATAATTCCTCCAGCCCATCTTTAAGAACGCGGAAGCTGGACGAACGCGAAACAATACAGATACATTTATCAGCAAACGAATTCGGTGGAATGCGGTAAGCTTCGGCAATATCCTCGCTGACAGGGTCCCTAAAAGCAATGCAACTGACATAAATTTTTGACCCATCGCCCTCTGCATTAGAATTTCCGCAATCGCAGTGAGTGGAGATACTAGCTACACTTATGACATACTTAATAACTACATTCTACTTAAATATAACATACATCCACAATGGCAAGCTCAAGCATCTTCGAATTACGAATACTGAAAGAAATTTGAAGTTAAGCAGCACCCATACCCGTCAAAACAATCGGATAACTGCGCGGAAAGGTGTAGGCATCACTGGAATCGAAGCCCGACGAAAAAAACTCGACCCCAGCTGGCAGAACACACTGCAAATGCAAACCATGTGCGAGCTCATGTTAATTTGACACCTGAAAACTAGAGCAATAGAATAATATACTGGAAAGTGATAGAGTTGCTGCAATGGAACTCACTGTTGGGAGCTGAGGTGGTGGAGGAGGATAGAGAGAATGGTTGGAGGGCGGATACTGGTCGAGAAGAGACGGTAGATACATGTAACCGAATCCATGAAATCCCTTGTTGCCATCTAAAGTCCGAATCTCGGGCCCGATCCCACAAACCACGAAATATTCAAAGATCCCAGCCATTCAACACCGATGGCCGATTCAATTCTTCCGTGATTGATCCCAGAGAGAAAATTGACGAATTGCAGCTGCTCTTCAAGGTGGTTCCAACTTAGAACGTGAATTTGATAGAGATTAGTAAAATCACATGAAGTAAAGATGAGGAAACAAATACAATTACTCTGTACTCCCTCGGTCCTGGAATGACGCGCGATTAGATTTTCCAAAACGGAAGATGAATGAAATCTATATATGTGGGCGGTTGCCGGTTAGCCCGTTTCGGACTAACGATCGGGAAATGTGTGTGTTTTTTTTTTCTTTTCCTCTTTTCTTAATTTGTTGTTATCATTTTATTCAATTTATTTTAGAAAAATATTTGGCAATTTTTGTCTAAATCTTATTTTCGCGAAAATTGACAATTTATTATTTTTTTGCCTCGGAAGCGACGCTTCCACCTTAACTGTGGTTACACATAAATGATAAATTTTCAATACATAAATTAGAATAATAATCTGAGTAATTTTTAAATAAAAATATTATAGTACAACAAAATATAAACACACGAATATTATACCCTCTAATTTGAAACAACATGAAGTGGGAAATTTTACTATCTCTTTATTTTAATACAACAAATTCGGATCGAGAGAGGGTAAGTGCTAGTATTCATGTTAGGCAAATTTTACTAATTTCTAATTTACCAAAAAGAAGATGAAAAAAAAATCGGGCTAAACTATAAAAAAACATATATAATAAAATAATAATAGTCATTTTTCTTAATATAACACGTGAGCGGGAGAGATTCAAATTTACCACATTTTGGTTTGACATTGATGTATTGCCTTATGGATCTATCTCCAAGTTGCTAGAAAAAGAACAATCATAAACTTTGCTATTAAAAAAATTACGAACTTGCTACTTTAAAAAAAATACTATTGTCATTTTAATTCAAAATCTTTCAAATATATATATATATATATATATATTTTAAACTTCAAAAATATAATTTTAAAAAACATCTTTATATGTTTTTTTAAAAAAATTGACATGACGTAATGATGTAACAATAAATGTAAAAGATAATAGACGTTTGTGTCATATGCTCTAAAATTTGAGGGACTCGAATTGTATTAAAAATGAACCCGTGTCCTCATATTGAAGAAACTTTTAATGTTAATTGTCGCGTTCATGCTGTGTCATGCTAATTTTGCTTTCGCTGAAATGAAACAGTATTGAAACTCTTGGAAAGAATACAGAGCATTTTTTAAACAAAAGCAAAGCTTTGGGGTATTTCTTCTAATTTAGCCGTAAATTTTCACTAAAACTTTCCCTCGCGTTTTCCATCTGGAGTCGGGGAAAATGGCCCACTCTGTTGTTCAAGCTCAACATGTGAACTCCCGATATGATTCACATCGAGGACTTTCCACGCATGACCCACCTACTCCTCATCCGTTGATTTGTTCAGATTTTGACTTTCCGAACGTTGAAGCTGAGCCAGAAGATGGAGACTATGACCAAGTAAACAGCAGTTTCTATAATCGGTTCTCTCCTCTGGAACTTCCGCAGCTCCTCAGTGATTGAAGATGGAATCCGATAAGATTAAAGGGGTCGTCATAATCACTCTTCCACCACCGGATAATCCGTCGTTGGGTAAATCCATCACTGCTTTCACACTCTCCGACGACTTCCCGGAACCTCCCCGCCAATCCGGCGCCGTTCTTCAAGAGGTACAAGAATCAAATAGTAACGAATTGACCCTCCAACAGAATCTTCCGATTCAGGCCCCTTCGAATTCGAATCAGCAAAGTATCTCTTCGTCAGGGGGGCTCTTTGCTGGTACTCCAAGAAAGCTCGTTGTCTTACTGGGTATTGCCCTTGTTGCTATTTATCTTTCTGCTTCCAATTTCCCGGTGACCCTTTTGGAATTGCGTAGTTCCGAGAAGAATGATGACGGTCGCCCGAAATCCTTGCTATTTCCTCTTTATTCCAAATTGGGGTTGGGTGAGAACAATGATTTCCAGCTTAAGTTGGGGAGGACTGCCAGTGTAAATAAGGATAATCCGGTTACAACATTTAATATTGGGCTTGAAGTTCCCATGCCTGGCAAATTGGTTTCTTCCACTTTAAAATCTGAGGAGTCCGCCATTTTACCTGTGGGAGGAAATATCTATCCAGATGGGTATGTCTTTATCTTGATCTTTTTTTTTTCTTTACTTAATTTGCTTTCTGTCCGGCGAAGAAAGTAGTTGGACTGCTTTTTTGAAAGCTTATTTTGTTTGGAATACTAAGAATTACAACTGAAAAGGCACTTTCAGCTGGAGAAGAATGAACAGCTAGAAAAATAAATAACTATAGTACTTTCAGCTAATTTGATATTTGGATAACGATTTAAAAATTCAGAATGATATGCCCTGTAAGTAACTGAATTAACTGCAGAAATCACCCTCCCAATCCTGTTGGTTGGTGATTATTAAAAATATCTGTGCTCATACCTACTCGAACTTATTAATCGACTATTTAATTGGTGATGTGGTTTAATGCCACTTTAAATGACCAAGGGAATTATGTAGCTCTAGCCACAAAAAGAGATGATAATACTGCTTTTAACTCTAAATTAGGCTTCTCAAAAGCTTGTGCATTTGTCCATTCTATGTAGACAGCATGCTTTGTTTGTCATGAAGATGTCATTCTTTGCACTAACATGGCTTTTCAACAACATATAGATTGTATTATACTTACGTCACTGTTGGAGAGCCACCAAGACCTTACTTCCTCGACATTGATACTGGGAGCGACTTGACATGGGTTCAGTGTGACGCTCCTTGCACCAGCTGTGGCAAGGTAAGTTATCAAATCCGTGCTTTTGCTATTATTTTGGTCAGTTATATTTTATCAAATTGTATCTTATCTATAATTCAATTCATCAAGCCTCTATTATAATTGTTTTATATAGCATTCTCCCTTCAAATGTGATCTTACCTGATTCTTGTATGGGGGCTTCTTTCATGTGCGAACAATCAACAGTCCATTTGTTTGACCATGTTTTCTTGGTACTGCCATTATTTTCGTACCAGTGATAACTAGTTTTTTTTAAAGTGAGGTCTGTTAAGAACTTCCACATAATATTAATTGCATCTGCTTTGAGCCAATCATTTATCCGTTCATTGCTGAAATGCTTTCTGGTTTTAGGTTTAAAAAAAATTATTGATTCAAATAAATGATGGAGTATCAGCTGAACAATATTTTATTTGAATATCCGTTTAACTTGCTTCAGCTGGTGCTATGCGACCCAACAAAACCATCTAACCAGTTTTGTAGTTGGGCAGTATCTTCTCGTTAAAAAAAATGGAGTGCCAGCTGAACAACATTATATAGAGTAACCAAACATCATAGATGACATAAAACTCAATTGATGAAAACTATATCATTAATCTAATAATACAGTTAATGTAGGGAAGCAATCCATTATACAAGCCAAAAAGAGAGAACGTTGTATCGTTCAAGGACTCTTTGTGCATGGAAGTTCAAAGAAATTATGATGGCGACCAGTGTGCAACCTGCCATCAATGTGACTACGAGATTCAATATGCTGACCAGAGTTCCTCTCTAGGGGTTCTTGTTAAAGATGAGTTTAATTTAGTGTTTTCCAATGGATCATTGACCAAGATGAATGTTACTTTCGGGTATCACTTTTTCTCCTTGTACCTCCGCAGTAAAGATTGTCCAAGTTTTAGTTCTCATGTCAATATTCTAACCTTTTTTTGTTCATTTGGTTACAAGGTGTGCTTATGATCAGCAAGGCTTACTATTGAACTCTTTGTCAAAGACTGATGGCATTCTGGGACTAAGCAGGGCTAAAGTTAGCTTACCTTCCCAGTTGGCAAGCCATGGGATCATAAACAATGTGTTAGGTCACTGTCTTACCGATGATGCAGCAGGTGGTGGATATATGTTCTTAGGTGATGATTTTGTGCCACAGTGGGGGATGGCATGGGTTCCCATGCTTGACAGCCCATCCATGTGAGTATGGATTACACCTGTTATAGTTGTAATTTTGTCTTATTAAAGAAGAATCTTCTTCCAACTAATTCTTTAAAGATCAAAATAAAACTTAAAGAAGGAGAAGAAGCTATACTTGGCATTTGGATCCTAACATAAATGCTCATAAGCTTCCTAATATTAGTAGCTTATGTTTGTACTTACCTTTTTGTAGAGAGATGAAAAATAACTAGCAAATGGAATACTGATTATTTGGTTGATTGTCTTATGTCAAATCAATCCTGCACTGTACACTTAATCCTTTGCACTTGGTGGCTTTTACATCTGCTCTATTGTAATGGATCTTTAACCGCTTCAGTTTATAATTTCAGAGATTTTTATCAAACAAAGATTGTGAGAGTAAATTATGGAAGCAGCCCACTGAGTCTTGATACTTGGGGCAGCAACCAGGAGCAAGTAGTTTTTGATAGCGGCAGCTCCTACACATACTTCACAAAAGAAGCATATTCTCAATTGGTTGCGAATGTAAGTTTCAAGGCATAGCAGCCCAGAGTGAATTTCTTTCTAGTTTCTGCCAAAAAGGTTTATCAGCTGATTACGAATCTCTATTCCTCTGCAGCTTGAAGAAGTCTCGGCGTTTGGGCTTATTCAAGATTCATCAGATACCATTTGTTGGAAAACTGAATCTTCTATAAGGTATAAGGCAGATATGAAGACATTCTTAGATAAATTAAGACTGCGTCACTAAAATGGATAGCATTTACTACTATAAATTTTCCCTTACAGCTTTACTCACGAGTGATCGATTACTTCATCAATATGGATTACTTGTACTAGCCAACTTTGCTTATCTTCTTCTGTTTTTATAACACCTTGATGAACGATGACAATAGGGGAAATAAAGGTTCTGGCTACAAGTTTCTAGCTTAGAAGAGAACATAGAAAGTCTCAGTAGAATGACAATTTTCTCGTTCATGTTGGAATTTGACAAAATTTACCACTTCAATAATTCCAGTCTCAATTCCAGCTCTCCACTATTGCTGGAACCTAATTTTATGTGAACGCCTGCAGATCTGTTAAAGATGTGAAGCAGTTCTTCAAGCCTTTAACGCTCCAGTTCGGGAGCAGATTTTGGATTGTGTCCACAAAACTTGAGATTTCTCCAGAGAATTATTTAGTCATCAATGTATGTCTTTATTTATTTCCTATAAAGAGTATACATATTTCTGCTGCTGTTATTTGCATCATTTTTGTAATAACGACTCCACGTTCTGCAGAAAGAAGGAAATGTATGCTTGGGAATTCTTGATGGAAGTCAGGTGCATGATGGGTCCACAATCATTCTTGGAGGTAAATACAGTTTAAAACTTTAAGAATTTGCATGATTCTCTTAATTCTACCTCATGGACTTACATTCATAATATTACTCTTTTTCACAATTCATATATAAGAAGTTTATTTATATTTGTCAATTGTGCGCTTGAAAAAAAATCCAGAACTTTCACTTATTTTTTTCACTTTGCGAACATTAGAAATGTGTTCGAATTTAGTGTGCCTCACATTTTTTTAAAACACTGCTCTTGAATAAGAACACGGGAAGCTGTTGAATTTTCAATATCCAAGTGTTTATGGTATAAATATTTATCCACTTGCAACACAATGACCAAGAAACCAGGATGCTTTTGTTTACAATGACATCTTTATCACCTTGATAATCTGGCATTTACTTTGCCTCTTAGTCCTCATTTTAACTTTTTCTGAATCCAAATTTATATTTCTTTTTCTTTCAGACAATGCACTGCGTGGGAAATTGGTCGTTTACGACAATGTGAATCAGAGAATTGGATGGACTTCATCTAACTGTCATAAGCCAAGAAGAGCTAAACGCCTCCCATTCTTTTGATACACTGTCAGTCTACAGATAAACTTCTTGGTCATATTGTTACATGGAATGCCTAGACTGTTGTGTCTATAAATAGGAGTAGCTATTTGTTAATATAATAATAAATTTTTGGAATATATGTCTTTAATCATGCGCTTCTTACACGATCAACTATAAGTTCGTCTTTCGACCGACTAGTAAACAACAGATTGTATATAGTTTCAGGATGAAATTTCAAATTTGCAAGCATGACACAGAAACTGACAAACTAATACCAAAGATGAAGAATGGTTTATGTTATAGAAGAGGCTAATTCTTCCTTTTCTGTGTCCCCTTCATGCATACAACAAGTTTCAGCTTGGTCATAGTTGGATCGGCATTTCCAGGGATTGATGATCAAGGGTCCTTGGATATCGTTGTTTTCAGTGAAGGTATCACACTCTTGAATCTCCAATATCTCTACTCTGCGGTTGGTCTTCTTCCTTATCTTGATTGCTACATCTTGGGGGCTGAACTTTCCACAAACACTTACCCTGCACTGCTTTTGCTCTATCAAATGGGTCTCCAACTCTGTCAAGATGATAAGGACTACCATGTCATAAGTTTCCTAACTATTAGATGCGTGGTCAAACCAAGAAAAAGAGATAGAGATAGGGAGATAGAAAGAGATTTCACCTTTTATACTGAGAAGGGCTCTTCTTACTTTCCTGTAACATCCATTGCAGTCCATGTGAATCCTCAAAACCATGCAGCAAAACTGCCATAGTTGTCAAGGGTAAACAGTTCAATAATGCCAATGAAGCTTGGAAGGAGAAGAAGAATGGAGTGGTGGTGAGATTGAACTTGCCTTTCCTGTCATTGAACCACAGACAAAAACAGAACCGTCTCCAAGAATCTAAACCAATATAATGTTTAAAGACAGAAGCAGAAATGAAACTGAAGGGTTTTCTGAGAGAAAATGAAAGAGACTGACTTGAAAGTCTGGGTTTAACAATGGTGTTGATTGTGGAGAGAATATGAAGACACTGAATAATAATAATGTTTATATTTGGAACCTGATTCGGCTTTGTGGTGTGTGGGCTGTTCATTATTCTTAGCTTTCCGAGCTTTGCTTCTCCTTTTCGCCCTCTTCTTCACATGGAGAAAAAGAAGACATCCTTTATTAAACCAGAAAGCCATTCTTTTTCTCATCCTGTGGCTATGCTTCTCCATAAATAAATTAAAGGTTTAGCAGAGCAAGCAATGGCAACAACCATATGAAATAAGACTTTTTTTTTTATAACGGAATATTTTGAAGTATCCTCTGCTTTTAACTCCTAGGTCGTGTTTGGTTTATAGGGCTTTTGTGTAGCCTAGGATTAAGAAGTCGAGTTTATGTTTGGTTTATGTGTTTGCTTTACCTTTGAGTTTGTTAGTTCCACTTGTTGGAACAATTATGTTATACGATTATGAAATTCAGTTTTGATAATACTACGTTGAAATTTTTACGATTATAAACTCACGCACCAAATATAAATTACACAACTTATTTATTCTTTTTGTACTCAACATAGGTTTGATAGGCTCAGACTTCTTTGTCTAGATTTGACAAACTCAAATTTCATAGATTTGGACAAAGTTACAAGTCAAACAACACTTTAAAGTTTTAGAAGTTTCAATTATATTCTTAACAATGGTTTGAAAAAGAAATTCAAAAGTTATTGTTCCTAATTTCATTTAGAAAATGAACAACAATATGATGTGGCATATACTTAAATAAATACAATAAATACACCCAGATATTTAGTGACAAATGACACATTAAATTCCTAAGAAACAAAATTAATACTATTCATGTATTTTTACAGCATGTTTTGATGTCAATACAATACTAACATGAACATAATTTAACTAGTTGATACATTATACACATCAGTATAAAAATTTACATAGCAAATGATATCTTATTGAGAATTTTAAAAGATTAAGAACTAAATTACAAATTACCTAAAAGATCAAGGACAATTATTTGATAGGTTGAGCAAAAATAAAAAAAAAACTTTCTAAACAGAAACAAAATACAAACTGTGTTTGAGATTAAAGTTACACTCAAATGAGGATTATTAATTTATTATTATTATTTTTTCAGTACAACAACGTGTGGAATAGAACTGTTTGAACACACAGCTTTCTAGTCGAAACTACTACCTTAACCAATTGAGTTAGACTTAGGTTGACGGGTTATTAACTTATGTGTAGAGGAAGAAGGTGGGGAGCGAGGAATATATTTTTTACATCATTTTTGCCAGCGGTATTTTAATTCAAACGTCCTTTGAGGAACATGTGCCAAGTAAATCCCCTGATCTCCACGAGCAACCCAAATGCAGTTAGAAAAATCACATCTATAAGCAAGCCAGTCACTTTTCTCTGGCCAGAAAACTTCACCAGAAGCATGACCATACATGCTCTTAAAATTGCACCAAAACAGCGTCGTTTGCCAAAAGTTTTCTTTAAACTTCCATTCGTATCGGCCCCTGAATTCGATCACGTGCTCGCCCAGATCGTCGTCTTTCGACTTGCAGTGAACCGTCAGATTAGCCGAGCCCTTCAGATAATTACGAATGGTCACTTGCCAGTGGGATCCTGGCCATTGTCTATATGATCCTGCAAAACATGATCCCAAAGCAAGCAATAAGATGAAACAAAAGATGTATAGGGGCTTCATTTTCATGGAGTTTGGTCAACCCATTTTGGTTCGGTTTCATTTATACCCAAATTCAATTCCTTTATGGCAAGATTCACAGCCTTTACCATCACCCTCTCTTACCTTACTAATGTGGCTGTATTAATGTAAAAAACAGATACGTTGTATGTAATAAAGGTGTTACATATGGGAATATTTGTTGCTCTGAAGTTAAAAAAAAAATTGAATTAAACCGTGATTTCATGAATGGGAGACAGCTTTGAAATCGATCACCTGCACCCTAAAATGGCCTATGTAATGTATGTATCTGCTGTGTTACGGGACATTTTACTAAAGTTTCTATTGTATCAGTAATCTACCCTTGTTTAATTTTTGTTGAAGCATATACTCGGAGAACGGTCGATTTTAAAACGTTGGTCGGAAGCTTAGTAGCATAAGATTTTAGTTCGTGTAATTTATGGTTAAGAAGTGAGTTTATGTTTGGTAAACTTGTTTGTTAATATGTGACATGTGAGTTTGTTAGTTTCATGGGTCATAGAAACCATGTTCCATAACCTTCGATCTTAGGATGCTCATCTTTTAATATTACTATTAATTTCTATAGACTATCAACTCTCAAATTAAATACAAATTACACAAACTTGGACTTCTATCATCTATGATATTGTACAATCCAAATTACATAGGTTTAACTTCTTCATCCTAACTTTGGAAAAGTCAAACAAATAATTTAAAGTTTTAGAAGTTTAAAAAAATACTTTTAAAACTTATAATTGTTTGAAAAAATGTTTTTATTATTAATTACATTTAAAAAATGAACGACAATATGGTATGATATTTTAATTAGGGCTTAGTCTCAATATTTTGAATAAATTCATCTCCATATATATATATATATCTTGAATGCTTGTTTATGTGAAATTAAAACCAACTTATTAGTTGGTAATTGGTACCTACTTTTTCTTTTAAGGTTGGAAGTTGAATTCAAACTACTCTACATTCTACTAAAACTAATAATAATAATTATGTCACGAAATAAAAAATATATTTAATAGTTTATAAAGATTTCAATTACATGTCAAAGCAAGCATACTTTAGTAGTAATTCACATATAATATATATATATATATATAAATAAATATAAAGTTAGTCTTTTGTTTTTGAACAAACCACCAAATTTTATTAATAACATTTTAATTATATTTCATTTTTTTCAATACAGCAGATGAGAAGGAGAATTTCAAAATACTGAAAAGAGGAAGGTGGGAGGGGAATTTTGACGTCATTTTTTCCAGGGATACATTAATTCCAACTGATTGGTGGGACGATTTGTCAAGAAAATCCCTTGCTCGTAAGCAGACCAAATGCAGTTAGAATAATCACATCTTTTAGAAAGCCACACTGTTGACTCTGGCCAAAAGACTTGACCAGAGGCTTGCCCATTCTTGCTGCTAAAGTTGCACCAATACAACGTGGTTGAAAGAAAATTTAAACGACCAGTTGAAATTGCTCCCGTACCCGATTGTTTGCTCGCCCAAATCGTCGTCCTTCGATTTGCAGTGAACCACCAGACTCGAGTCCTTTTGATAGTTATAAATAGTCACTTGCCAGTGGGATCCTGGCCATTGATTTGCAAAACATGACCTAAAAATGTTACATTCCAAAGCAAGCAAATATAGGATGAAACAAAAGATGTTTAGAGGCTTCATTTCCATGGAGAGCTTGATCAGCCCATTTTGGTTTTGTTTCATTTATATACCGAAATTCAAAGCCTATAATGGAAAGATTATTTACAGCTTGTACACACAACCCTTTCTTACCTTATTCATGTGGCTGTATTAAATGTACTAAAAAAAAACGGATACATTAAACCAAACTAAACCGATAGTCTCAAGCTGATTATCGTAAGTTAATTCTTTTAAAAGGTTGTTTAAATTGGGAAGCATTCCTTTAGCTTTCCTTTTGTAGGTAAGTTTCTCACATCTTCAATGAATTGATGGTATCTTTAAGACAAAAAAAAAGAGAAAAAATTCTTTTATAATCGAGTTTATGTTTGATATGCATTGTTTGTTTACCGGTGACATTTGAATTTGTCAGTTTCACTGGCTATAGATAAATTATGTTACATAAACTTGCAATCTTAGGAGATTCATCTTTTATAATAGCATTTATTAATTTCTTTTTTACAAATTATCAAATAACAAATTAAATATAAATTACAAAAACTTGCGTTTCTAAAATTTATTTGATTGTATCCCAAAAGATAGTTTGGGTGGTTAAAGGCCTCAAGAAATATCCTTGAAGTCTTGGTTTAAGTTGTTAAGGATTCCACATTCAAAAAGTAATTGGACCTAGTTTATGATTGTACTACCCCTCCCTCATTGTCAATTGGTTTTGAGATGAGACCCATGAATATAATATTAATATGGTATCAGAATCCAAAAAGCTCAAACGTCAAACCAGCATTCGTTCCAAAAAATGGAATCTAGCCAAGATCGACGAGCCAAGACCTTGCATATGTACAGGGTATGGGAGCAGTGCGCATAATAATCGGGTTCATTGATATTTTTGGTATAGTAGAATACTATCACACATACAATCATACTTAATTTAATAGAATTGTTTGATCTTAAAGGAGATCTTTTATGATTTTGCACGTGAGGGGTTATTTCTTGGTTTCGTCCCATCATTAATAACTTGATTATTTTTAGATAATAATAGATAGAAACGTAAGGAGTCCTATTGAAACCAAGAAATATAGGCTTACCTGCCATCCACACCAGAATAAATAAAGTTTTATGAAAAAAGTGTGTTTAAGACTACGGTTAACCAACATGTTAACTAATCGATTACGATAAATTGGATTGAATTTTGCAATTTTTTTCTTTCTGCAGCACCTCGACGTGACATGAGCATGAAAGAGGTTCAAGAATATCAATTTTCTTTTTATAAGGGCCAAAATCATTTATTTTGGCTTTTTACCCCTAAACCCTAAATCCATAGATTCTATATTACTTCTTACTTTTTTTAATACTTTAGCATGGGATTGAGGATAGTCTTTTTTTACTTCACAGAAGGGATACTGGATCATATATATGGTTTAAATTACTGTGACAAAATTAAACTTAATAAGATAAACAAAGTCATGTGTGTGGTGAGACAATACTGTTTTAGAAATCTTAATAATATCCTTAAACTTTATCAATTGTTTGAATAAAATGTCTTTACTACTAATTATATTTTAAAAAAAACGATAATATGATATGGTATATGTTAGAATTAGTTTTAGTATTTAAATAAAAACATGTAGATATCAGGAGACAATGCCAGACCTTTTTCCCCCTTTTTTTATGCATGCTTGTATGAAATTATGTCACTAAATGTCTAGGCACCCATATCACAAAAGGAAAACATGTCCCTGATACCACAAAAACCACTTTCAAAACAACTAATAAATTCAAGGGTATCAATAGAACTTCAATAAAAATTAAAAAAAATAATAAATTAAATTAAGGACTAAATAGAAAAAAAAAATAAGTTTAATATTTTACAGACAAATAGTAGATTTCAATTACATTAATAATACAACACAATTATTTTGTAAAATAAATACTACACTTGATTGGAGTTGTTTCTCTTCTAACTTAGAATGGAAAAATAATATTAGAATAATTTACTAGTTTAAAGGTATTGATGTTGAACTAAAAAAAAAAGAAACACGCACGAGGGGTACTTTATTCTTATCTGTGATGTGTCACTCTTCTATATGCCATCATAAAATAATCATTTTAAGGGAAAAAAAAAACTTAGGAGAAGAGATTTTTTAAGGGCACACTTGTCTTTGTCTTTTTATTTATTTTATCGTTTTTTATTTCTAGTATTTGAAAAATATAAGAATTTGATAAATCATTATTCAATTTTAAGAAACGTTTTAAAAATTTTATAGAAATTTTGAAAACAACAAAATCGGGTGTCGTAGCTCCTAAATTTGTTTGATATTTTATTTGCTCGTTTTATTTTTTGTGTTTGAAGTAAATTTTTTTAGATAAACAAACCAAAATCTTGTCTAAATTAATAGGAACATTTCCTACCTTTTATGTTTTGTCAAAAAAGGGAAGAAAATAAACTATTTTTAATAAATATTATTCCCCTTCTTTAATTTCCTTAAATATAATATTATTAATTAAAAGAAATAAAATATTTCTGGGAAATTTTCTAATCGATTTAGACCAACTTTAGAAAAAAATCAAACCATTTAATTACTAATATGAAATTATATTACCTTTAAAAAATTAATTAATTAAATAATACTATTTTATCCTTCTTAGTTATTTCTATTTGGGTTTGATTATCTAATTTTTCCCTAATAAGTTATATTTTTAAATTCCCATAAATTGAGACAACTTGGAAAAAAAATAAAACCATATTTAATTAATCAAATGAAATCATATCATTTTTTTCTTTCTTAGCTTTGATTAATTAATTAAATCATATTATTTTATTCTTATTTCCATTTGTATTTGATTATATCTGAGTTTTCTTTAATAAGTTAGATTTTGAAATTGCTATAACTTGAGACAAGGTCGCTTGGGAAGAAGACACGGCAACACAAAAACAGATTTATCACTTTTTTTCAAGAAACATAAAAATAACACAAAATGGAATATGTATTTATATAGCATTCATTTAAAATTTTATAAAAATGACATAAATTACATTTGGATCTAAAGAATCTCACTTTCTTACTCTTTTTTTTTTCTTTTTCTTTTACAAACTCAAACCTCTTTTAATTTGTAGGTTGGCGTAGTGGCAAGTTGAGACGTCAAATTTGGGCTCTGTGCTGTTCACAATGTTCTCAAATCTAAACAACAAGTTCAAATTATAAGAATCCCGCTAACAACCGATCCTGGAAAGAAAAAAGAAAGACAAACTCAAATTCAAACTTCTTCCTCCTAAATCATGATAAAGTCAAATTTAACAAGTCATGTAAACACATAGTAGATTTCAATTATGTTATTACTACACACAGTCAAACTTTGTTGATAAGATTCTAATTGTACTGTATTCTTAGTTGCACTAAAATGGAAGATGATGTCACTCTTTTATGCCA